TATTTAAGTTTAGGGGTGTGATAAGCATTGAAAAATAGCATTTAAACCCCTTAAACTTGAATGTTCTAGGACCTTATTCTATCTTATTTTTCCATTTTTGTCTAATTTCATGTTATTTCCCTTTTCAGGCACTTATCCCCAAAATAAGTCAATTCAGCTGAATTAAAGCATAAAAAAAGCAATCTCAAGCTTAATGGAAGAAAGGAGCAAAGTGGTGAAAAAAAGCCTTCTTCGATCGAATTAACCAAGCTCCGATCGATCACATAGTGATCGTTCCAACCATGCCATGATGGATCGAGCCTATTGTCCTTATCTTCAGGAAATTTCCCTTTTCGATCGATCTAACATTTTTGATCTTATCCTCACCTACCACTTTTGTCATTTTCTCAAAAATATCCAGAAAATATCCCAGCTTTATCATTATTCAAAAAGGTGCCGCCATAGTTCAATCGATCCAAGCACCCTTGTGATCGATCGAACTGCCTCAAGTGCGTGAAAAACAGAATTCCAGCCAACTTAAAGGTGTGCTCGTGGTGCAATCATTTGGAGGCCCTAGTGCACGAGGTTTTGGGTGTGACATTTGAGCTACTTATATAAGGATTTTGGCTATTTTGATGCAAAGAAGAAGCAAAAAAGAGGTTGGAGAAGGCTCGAGATTAGAGAGAGATACACACCATTTGGGGAAAGTTCTTCCACTCATCTAGGGTTTCTACCAAGAAGGGGAGGATCATTTCTACCATAAAGATAGCCTTGGAGGGCTGGATGACAACATCAATGAGTGGCTAAACCATTCTCTTGGGGCTAAAGATAGCCCTAAGCATGCCTCCTAGACTTTGATGTTATGTAATTAAAGAGGATTTGTGTTGTAATTTTTGTCTTGACATCTTATATATAAAAATCTTGTTTCTACAATGATTTGTGTAGTTTAATACTTCCAATTGACCATTTAATTCTATCCATATGTCTATGTATGCTAGGATGAATGTTCATGTGTTTATTTCTATATGTGTTGATATTATGAATCTAGTGATGGTCAAGGCATGGTACTTAAATAGATTACTCTTGTGGTTTATTTGATGGTTCATACTTATTTCTTGATGAATTGTGCCACATCCTTAGTTTAATTAGTTTAATATTCATGTTACTAGCCTAGATGTAGTGTAATTGTTTTACTTTCTTAGATAAATGGACAATCCATGATTGTTGTTTGATATTCCAAACTTATGAATGCAAGTAGTATATTTCTCTAATTTGATGAGTGTGCATTAATTGTGGACTTAAGGGAATGAATAATGGCTTGATTTGATATGTTGTGTTATCCACTAGTTTAGCTAGACAATGTATGCTTACTTGGCCATCCATACTTGTTAATTCAATTAATGGCATACACTTTCATTACAACATATAATCCCCCTAATCCATCAAACATTGAATGTCTAGGAAGGTAATGCTTAGTGGTGAACTCTAAGTCCCAAGACTCCTCTCTCATATTCTCTACACTTCATTTTAATTTCGTTGCTTTACATTGCATTTATTTAATTTACTTTGTAGTCTAATTCAACCACCAACCATCTTTGATCATTTGACCTACTAATCCAACATTGATTTCCAAGCAAAAATACACTTCATTTCCTTTGGGACGATCCCTATTTACTCTAGCTGCATTATTTGTTATAGTGGTAGCGTCATTCTATAAATTCAAACTTGGCCACACTGCATTCTCTTTTGCAACTTAGGTACGAGACACACCAGTTACCCGCCCCGCCATGTTTTTGGCAGTTTTGGGAGACCGTTTAACTTATTTGAGCAGGGATGGTTTGACGTAATAAAACCCCACGCGGGTTTGGTGCGGGGGCGGGGGGAGGTCGCCCCGCCCCGTTTAAATAGGCAAATTACTTAAATATCCTTATTTCATTAGTATATATATATCCCAGTATATATATTAAATACCCTATATAACAATATTAAAGTAACAAATGAATTTAATTATTAGGAAAGTTGTAATGGTGAAGAACTAGAAAATAAATAAATAAATAAATGTTAAACGGGTACGGGGATAGGGTGGAAAGTCCCCCCTTTTTTATAGTTTTGGGCGAGGACAAGGGCAGGATTTTCAAACAGTAATTGAGTGGGGAGGGTACACCTGCCCAAACCCGCCTCCGTTGCTATCCCTACCCAAGAACCACGTACCACCGCCTCCAAGATTGTACCTCCTCTCAGCCACTATTTCTGGGCAAAAACCACACAAAAAAACCCCAACATCATCATCTTTTTCACAAGCGTCGTCGAAATATTCCTTTTGCATAACAAGGGAATGTGAATTTCTTGATGTGATTTTTTCTATACAATCATGGTTCTTCCCAATTACACAATCCCTGATCAATAGCGATGGAGTTCTTAGTGGTGGTGGCGGCAACAATAAGGAATTTGGTGGTAGGTTTGAGGAAGAGATTGTGGGTTTGTTAGGGTTAGGGTTTTAGAGGCCATGGGTTTGGTAGTGGTGGTGGTTCTATTGTGTTGGTGGTGGACCAACTACTGTGGTGAGGTCTAATGAGTATACCATATACATATGATATATATATATACACACACACATATACATATGGTGACAAATATACATATGTATATAATATATATATATATATATATATATAAGAGTAAAACCATCATTTATGAATTTTGATATATAACAATTTAAATTAATAAAATATTAAAGGGCAATCATTACTTTTTACATTTTTAAGGAGATATTTGGATCCAATTTTTGATGATGAGTGTCATTGTTCAAAAAAAGCTCGTCAGTAGTTATCTCTTTGCTCCACGTGTGTGTGTGTGTGTGTGTGTGTGTGTGTGTGTGTGTTTGTGTATTATAGATAATATTGTAGTGTTTGATAATTGAAAAGTGTCATTGTCCAAAAAAAAGCTTGTGAGTAGTGAACTCTTTGCTCCACGTGTGTGTGTGTGTGTGTGTGTCTATATATATATATATATTATAGATAATATTGTAGTGTTTGATAATTGAAAGTAATGACATTAAAAATAAATAAAATAAAATAAAAGAGTAATGACATACGAAATCTTTAGCACTTATATTAGCAGCCGAGAGAGATATCTTCGCTCTTAAACACGTTTAAATTGGACCAAATAAATTGTTTCGAAAGCAAATTTTTTAAAATTATTTTTTGTTGAATAATCCTGAAATTCCTCATAATTTCTTTCATTTCAAATTGTCTAATACAACACTGTTTAAAAATAAAACCATGCCCAGAAGCTAGGGGTTCACAGTAATATGATCTTAATTCCAGAAACAGTTCCAATTTATAGATCAAGGTATTTGGATCTTCTTCATGAATTTCCATCTCCAAAAACAATTGAACCACTGGTGGTTCAACTGATAAAGCGGAGATATCACCTAAATTACACAATTATTCTCCACCGGGTGCCACTCACATGCTCCATCGGCACTCCACATGCCCGCTCTCGCTTCGTTCCCACATTGAGTTAACCTAGATTATGCCGTCCCATGCTCCGCACACGCTCTTGCTCTCACACTCCACGCATGCGCGCTCTCGCTCCCAGTTCCCACTTTGAATGACTTCGATTATACCGCTTTCACACTCCCGCTCTGTGTAACTTAGAACATCACTCCGACGCCTACTCTATTCCTTCCCTCTCTTCCCACTAGTCCCACAACCGAATGACAAGGCCTCACAGAATATCAAAAGCAAAGCGAACATTTCAAGTTTTTCTTTGCTTCTAAGTTCAGAAACAAGACAAGCATTCAATAATTACTCGAAGCATGGATGGCAACCATGTCAGTTGAAGAATATGACACGTACCACAGTAAAATACACAATTCATCCTGTTTCAATTCCTCGTGTGTTTGAATATAAAACACACACACACAAATTACTTCAGAATTTCAGATGGAAAAGATGCATTAAATATAAAACACTCTACACTTTCTACTCATTAAGATGAACATCTCCTTCATATGGAAAAGATGCATAAAAACTCGCTTCCATGAAGAAAATTTGCCCATATATATAGATAGATATGTAATAGATATCTGACATTCTGTTACATCAAGAAGTTAATTCCACGCTACAGAGCCACACACAGAGATACCATCCTACAAAATAGTTGGGTCTAGTAGTTAAAACAGCTTTCTATCATAGTGTTTCACAAGTCACAACTAAACCTGGATCTAGTTTAGGAAGAATGGATGATGATTCGCCCCCCCGCACCCCGCGGCCAAGTTTATACCGTTTCATGCTTAGAAACTAAATAGAAGAAACTTCATTTCATTGCAGGTGGAATAATAAACACGAAACCCATCTCACTTATTATGATTTCCTTCATTGCCAAAGTGTTTCTTTCGTATTTACACGAGTTTCCCATATTTATTTTATAATGCTGTTCATTATATATTTAACCGGACCAACCCTTATTGGGACTCTTAAGTTCTCTATTATAATTTGTATATCCAAAGCTGGTAGCAGTCATCATAAATAATTCAAAAACAACTCTCTTTTCCAAATTCGCAGTCTTTAACTTATAATTTACCACAAAAATGCAGACATACAAAAGACTAGTGGAGGAGCAACCTCCATATCACTCACCGGGGTGTTTTGACATAACTGTTCATCATTACGATACCAACCTAGACGGGTTCCAAATGCAGTCAATCTCCTATACTCGGTATTAAATACTCTGAATCAATAAAATTATGAATAAAACAAGAAGAAGTATCTCCTGACGAATAATATTCATTTTATTATTTTTTTAAAAAAATTTTTTTTTTTTCCCTTTTTTGAGATAGCTGACAGAAATAATATTCATAAAATATAACAGGTTCCCCACCATGAGACCTATTGTCGAGGATTGTTTACATGTCCAATATCATCACATCATTTCATTTAGTAGCAGAAGACAGCAAAGAAGTATAAAAATTCATGGCAACAAAAGACATCCCAAAGAATATTTGAATGTAATAGAGATTGCAAAAGAATTCCAATTGCTGAATATAGATTAAAAAATTTCTATCTGAACATAGCACAAAACTATAAAAGGTAACAGTTCTCTCACTACTGCCAACCCATAAAAACCAGGAATTCAACACAGCAACAAGCAAATTTGCTAAATGGCATCTACATATGCCAGCATATAAGCTGTCTTCACCTATGTCCAACATATATTTTTAACGACGGCCCTTGGCCATTCTTGACTATGGACAACTAACAAGGACAGCCCAGGTCAAAATTCTCAAGTTGTTTATTACATTGAAAATCATAATAAAAAAAAAAGAAGGGGGGGGAGATAAGAGCCAAAAAAAGGGGGAGACAGGACAGCACAAACAATTTAATAGAAATTTAACATTTCTCCAATATTCTTACCTTCACCTGCAAAGATGAATGGATCAACATGAAGGGTCCTACTGCCACAAGGATGAGTATAAAAACGCTCCTGATTCAGCAGCTCAATCATCTTATCTGAGAAGGAGAACAGAGAAGTCCTGAAGCATCAGCACCAACCACTGCAAGATCACAAACAGTACAGAGCTGCCCTTCCTGGCTTGGCACAAACCGCGAACTGCAGTATGGGCATAAGACATCTTTCTGTCCTCTGTAAATGGGAACATATGTTGCCCCACAAACCACAAATGGATTTCTGAAATCATAGTTCAGCTGAGACACATCTTTCATATTCTTCTCGGCAGCCTGCAGCACTTGCCGGGCCAACTTCGCTTGGTTATCGGTGGGATTGCTCTCTAGGAGCCTCCTGGCAAAATTATCTGCTGTTATGAGATTCTTCGCTTTAAAGCAAACAGTCATTGCATTTTGCAATGCCAACCTCAAGTGAGGCATTTGAAGGTTGCAATGTGTGAAATAGGCTGCAAGCTCTTGTTGGCGTACAGGATCATCTTTCATTTCCCTCCTTTTGAGCTCCATTTGCAGACCCAAGATATACTCTTTTGCTATAATAATCAATTCCTTTACTTCGTCAACTTCCCTTCTTGACTCTACAACAATCAGAGGAATTGTATGGAGGATGCTAAGAAAAAGACGAAGAGCTTCGGTGAATTTCCCAGTTGTCGTCGCCTTGTAACCCGCCTTAAGTTTCTCTTCCAATTGAGAGAAACTGAATACCAGTGCAGGTGGACCCCTTACGTTAGGGCTATTAGACTCACTCCAGCCCCGTTCAACTGCCAATGATAGCACTGGAGAAGATGAAAATGCACGTAGATAGCTATGGCTGCCAGTATGAAGATCAAGAAACATTGGTCTCAAAGGAGCAAAGTTTCTTATTCCCAGTTGCCGGCTCAACAACCGCATTGCAGTGTCGAAATTGCCAGCTGCTGCATGTTCGGCAGCTAGAGAAGATCTCTGCGTCCAAATTTGGCTTACAGGCATGCCAGGAGTCGGGGCCACAAAAACTGCAGAGCGTGCATTGACAGAAGCCCTCGGTGTATCTGCCTCAGGTGGAAGCTCCAAATCTTCGAGATCCCATCCTCCTTCCTCATTTTCTTCTGGCACTTCCCCATCCTCCAGAACTGCCTCAATATCCCCATTCTGTAACCCATCAGCATCAACCATATCCAGTTCTTCACCCCAATCAGCATCAGCAACCTCCTCATCTTCATCAGGAGCACACCTCCCAGTATTATCCAACCCACCCTCAAAGATGCCTCTCATAACTCTCAACAGGGGCCAATCTCCACCACACAAAATGGGGGCTGGAGGGATAAGAAGGGAGGGTACCTTCTCCTCTGGCAAAATAGGAACATTATCTCCCAACTCAGCTGATAACCGATCAACAACATCTTGTAGTCCATGGACTGAAGCAGTGATATAAGCAAGAGGCAAATGCCCAGCATTCTCCAAAATCTTCACACGCTCTCGAACATCACCTAGATAAAGAGCATTATGGAACTGCCCCATGACATCGTTCTTGACTTCAGCAATTTTGAGCATTTTGGACAGTTTTTCCATATTCCCAGTAATGAGATATAAAAAGGATAACCTTTCAAAATTCTTTGTCTTCTGATAAGCATACTCTACAATACCAGCGTTACCCTGGCGAAGTGCCTCCACCCCCAATCGATACCAATGATCCTTCTCATCAATTTCCTTAGCTGAAGCTACAGCAATTTGGATGTTCCCACTCTCGAGAGCCAGATTAAAACGAGTTCTCTCGTCTTTTACAAAATGAAGAGCAACTTCTGGGAATCCCTTCTGCTGTAAATAAGCAATCATTGCCTGCCCACAAAGCTGCGAGTTTCTAATCATGCTCATAACATGGTCATATTTCTTCTTCATCAAAGACAGCTTAAAAATATATTCTGTAGCATCAATAACTATAATTTTGTTCTTTCCATCCCGATCCAAGCAAAAGATCTTATTTCCCGAAACCTTAGTGATGTATATCGGGACATCAAGGGTCCTTATTATCCCACTATCTCCATTGGGAAGGCAGTACTTAATGTGATTCAAGGTTGTATAAATAAAAACCCCATTGTCATCCCAGGCCCCACTCTTCACACGAATTGTCTCATGAAGTGTGCACTGATGCACAAGCTTCTTACTAGCAATAACTATAGCATGCTTACTGAGCAAGGCAACACTCTCCATGTCATTTGACCAAACAATATACTTAACAAAAGGGGTTTGAATATCACCAAGAACAATCCTCTGTTGAAGGTCAAATATAATGACTCTATCCTCCGCCCTACAAAGCAAATTTCCCGTTCCAGCATAGAATATTGCATCAGCAGTAATAGGGAGTGGGCTTTTCTTAACCATCTCATTCTTGAGGTTCTTGACCAAAACTTGATTGCTGGTTTTATCAAGCACAGCAAATCTGTTTCGAGCCACAAATACAGCTGATCCTCCAATACCTCTTTTTGCTTCTTGCACGGTATCTCCTCTACCAGTGCTGTCTTTAGGAACAATATAGAGCTCATAAGATCCACCATCAATATCGGAACAGATAAGAACAGCATTTTCTGTAGGACTATATGAAAGAGTACGTGGGCCTTGATTTAGGCTGGTAGAGCCAGGGCGTCGAATTGGAATGACTTGTGTATCTCGCTGAGTTGAAAACTCATAGAATCGCAAAAAACGATCTTTGGCATAGAACATGGAATCACCACTCATAGAGAAGGCAGGCCTTTCTCTCTCCAACTTAAACACAATCATGCCACTGTCATGACCAGCAGCCAAGAGATTCATCTCGGGGTGAGATGCGAGAATCCAAAACCGATCATGCTCTCGGCGAAAAGTTTGAAGACCAGTTCGCTTTGTTGCATCCCAAACACGAATGCTTTTGTCCTCCGAGTTGGAAACAATTATGTCTTGTTTGGCATGAAACATGACGCATGACACGTTATTCATGTGCCCTCTCAATGTGTCTACTTCCCATGCCTTCGTGTCTGGAGAAAAGAATAGTTCATCTCAATAGTTGCAATCATTCTAATAAGTAATAAAATCGTAATATGAGCACATCTGCATGATTCACTTTTGGACTCTGCAACAGGAATGTAAACCAGCTTGGCCAGACAACGTCATGCCAAGTGGCAGATTTACCCGGCTCAGCAAAAACAGTATAAAACAACAGATCGTAAATTACAACCACATTTTAAGATAGATAGATACACAGAGAACCTAATATGTACTCAATGCACTATAGGAACAAAAGGAACATAAAGAACAGTTGTTTCATGACTTACCATTCATGCGCCACAGCTTCACTTGACGATCATCTGCTCCCGAGACTATCAAAGGTAAAGTGTGGTGAAAAGCAGCCCAGTTGACTCCCCGGTCATGACCCTCCAGAACATACTTAACGACAGCATCAACCCCACCAAAAAGATCTGTGTTCATTTGACTCAACCGCAGAATGTCATCGGCAGGTGACACTGTCTTCTTCCTCAAGGCACCAATATCCCAAACCCGAACTGTCTGATCCAGCGAAGCCGACACAACAAGGTCGTCTTTAGGGTGGAACGAGGCACACATCACATAATGGTTGTGGCCAGTTAAAACAGAAATACAAGTACGTGACTGCCAATTCCAGATTCTTATTGTCTGATCATCACTAGCACTCACAATCCAAGGATACTCATGGTGAAACTGGACAGTACGGATGTAATCAAGGTGTCCAAGAAGAGTAAACAGACACCTATGCAACTTGTAGTTCCAAACCTTAATCTTGTAATCATCTCCTGCATAAGCCACAATCATGAAAACCGCTTACTGCCAACATAAGCATTCCCATTAGTAACGCTTGCATTGTGTTATAACACAAACAAGTACTACAGAACGTGAAAAAGTCTTCCAAATTACCACAGTTCATTTCATTACGACTTAATAATTTTTTTACATATTAAAAAACCCCCAAAAATATGTACTGATTCAACCAGGACCATTCTGTAATAAGAATATAAAATATAACACACTTAATGCCATAAGACTGACCATGAAAGTAATAGGTTCATCAAATTGAACTTCAAATGAGGCATCAAAAATACCGCAAAATAGTCATGTTTTTATAATTTTCAAAATTCTTGTCATGTTGAAGTTGTTTAACCCAACTGTGGTTACCAAGATCAAGGGGTCTGAAACACAGCCCAATCATACTCAGATAGATGAAGGGGCTGTTATCTGATTGCCTTGAAAACCCATATAGAAATTTAGCTTTATCATGCCCCGACAAAATAATCCATCAAGGATCTAGATCTATGAAAGATGGAACAAGTGATCTAATAAAAAACATTTTGATATTTCCAATGCAGAATTAACTTACTTCAACTTGAATCACAGAAAACCATACAAAACCCAAATGGCACATTCAAGGTAGGAACTAAAGGCGAACTAAAGGCGAACTAAATTTACATCAAGTGCCATAATTCAGTACCTCCTGACACGAATAGCGGCTGCGATTTGTGAAAATGAACACCTCGAACAGGCCCATCATGCTCGTCGAACCTGTCGATGAGAGTCCCCATCCGATAATCCCATAACTGGATCACACCACTGTGAAGACTCGCAAGGATCCACGGCCTCTTACTGTGGAAACTCAGTCCCTTCACTCTATTACTCTTGGTCTCGAATTTCGTCAACATTTTCTCCAATCAACAACGAATCTAAATCCCTGCACACCGTCAACACTAATCACACTCTACAAAATTCAACACGAAACTGCACGATTCATGACACGAAACGCTCAATTCACATCAAATCATATGCGAATTTCAAATCACAACAACGAGTCCAAGTAAATTTCTTAACTAATAACCGAACGACAACCTAATAATATAAATTCATCGCAGATCTATGAAAATCAAAGCTTTAGATTCGGACAATAGATTTATAGAATAACACGAAATGCTTACCTCAGATCTGATAGGTATACTGATGGATCAGATTAGAATACACAACTTCATATGCAATCGCCACCGGCAAGCAGCAGCGGAATTAGATAGGGAGAGAAATTTTTAGAGAGAGAGAGAGATTTGCTGGCTCGTAGATCGGGAGCCTAGAGAGAGAGAGCCAAAGAGAAAAAAACAAGGGTTTTTAGAAGTCTCACAGATCTGGCCTCGTCGAGTGTCTTACGTTAATGAGAGAGAGGGAGAGAGGGCAAAGTCGAAAATTAAAACGCTTTGAATTGCTAAGTAGAGTTAACGTACGTGGCAATACATGATTACGTATATTGTATTACCATTAATGGTGTGGATTTAGCGGTGGTGATCTATTGGAGTGTATCATCCTCAAGATCATCACAATTTTTCCATATTATCAAGATTCATGGAAGATTCACTAGACGGTGCAGATTTGTTGGATAGGCATTGTCAAACGAATGTTTTTACCAAAGAAGGCCCCTCTCAACAATTTTATTCGTGTGATAGACATCATCAATTGCATAGATGTGCTCTCAAATTTACTAAATACATTATCATTTGTTTAATTTTAAACTCTGTGCATGAACTCCAATATATTATCAATTTTATTAAATTTATCCATGCCATTCTTTAATAGAAAAAATTTTTAAAAAAAATTACTACGCAGTAAATTACTGTAAGACCTCTGAGATTTATAAAAAAAATATTTTAAAGTAAAAGTTGATAGGTAAAATACCCCACTTATTTGCTTACCAAATAAAAATTTTAAAAAATTACCCTCATTTACTTATAACAAAAAAAATACCATATTATTGATATTATAGTGACCATTTTAAAATAACCATTATACCCTCTTAACATTCTCTATTTCGTCTCTATCCTTTCTATGACCATTATACCCTCTTAACACTCTATTTCGTCTCTATCTTTCCTCGACAATAATATGAATGGCTTTCCAGAATATGAATGTCATCCAGAAGAGAAGAAGTTAATTACCCCAAAAAAAAAAAAAAACAGAAGAGAAAAAGTCTCACCCTATGGGAGAATACTTTGAGGAAGCCCTCCTAAGAGAATAATATTTGTTCATCATCATCCAAAGATCAAATCATTGGAGAAATATCCAGTGGAGTCAGCACCAGATCCAAACTCAAAGGGCAATTAAATCATATGGACTTTGTGTCTCAGATATAACTAAAAAAAAAAATAAATAAATAAATAAAAGGTGTGAAGAATGAGTATTGGATAATTGCTATGCAAGAATAACTAAACCAATTTGAAAGGAATCAAGTTTGGAATTTAGTTCTCGTACCCAAGGATCATTCTATAATTAGTACCAAGTGGGTAATTAGGAATAAAAAAGATGAGTTAGGTGTTATAATTAAAAATAAGGCTAGATTAGTTGGCTAAGGTTTCAGTCAGAAAGAAAATATAGACTATGAAGAAACTTTTGCACCTATGGCTAGATTAGAAGTCATAAGAATGTTACTTGGATTTGCAAGCCACGAGAACTTCTTGCTATATCTAATGGATGTGAAAAGTGCATTTTTAAATTGCTATAGAGAATAAGAAGTCTTTATAGAACAACCATAAGGATTTGAAAGTCATGAATTTCCGAACATTGTATTTAAACTAACAAAAGGTTTACATGGTTTGAAGAAAGCTCTAAGGACTTGTTATGAAAGGTTGAGTGGTTTTCTGGTAAACTGGTTTTGTAAGAGGTAGGATAGATAACATTATTTTTATCAAAATTGTGGACGCTAAAATTTAGTGGGCTTTTGTCTTAAAAAAATTGGTCCATCAAATGTGGGTTTCATATTTAATTAACTCAAATTTGGTCAACTTAAATTATTTAATTAACCCAGTCAGTTAGTTAAATAAAAATATAATTATTCTCAATAAAATATATTTGGGGATAATTATCATTGACCCTGCCCAGTTATAATTGTGTCCTTATCAAGAAAAGACACATGTTATCATCCTATTCATCCAAGAAGTTTATAAATAGAGGGATGGAAGAAATGTGTAGAAATTCAGAAACTTAGAAGTCCAAAATTTCAGAGTAAAATACAGAAGCTCTGCCGACATTCATCCCCAACACCTAATCCTTGAAGAAGAAGAGAAACAAGCGCAACCAAAGCCATGTCGTTCTTCCACAAATTCAACAAATCCTCTGAAGATGAAGAATAACATGCACATCCAAAGTCGTGCCGTTCTTCCTCAAATTCAACAAAGAACAACAAACACATTAAAATCGTGTCATTCTTTCTCCGTGATTCAACATGTTTGAAAAATCACCAAACAACATTGTTCGAGATCAACCTTCGTCAACCCTCGATCAGAAATCATTGGCGGTCTTCCTTAACTACAAATACTTAAAGAAAACAACCCAATTCAAGATCAAACCCAACAGCCCTTGGATCTAACCAACAAATGAGATCGAATCAGAGGATATTTTATTTCTTTTGCAAAGAATACCCCAGAGGATTGTACTCATCAATTTTCATAAATTAATAAAATTATTATTTGCCTATCTTTCGTTCTTTTATTTGCAGATATGAAATTTGTGTGTACAAATTTCTAACATGCATGGTGAGACATTCTCTGCCTCTCATCTCTTTCTCCTACATCAAATCTTCAACAAATTCTCATCATCAGAATTTATGGCTTTTGATAAAATTCAGACGAAAAGCAAGAATACCCCCAAGGACACCGCAGTCATGGCGAATAACATCAATACCACCACAAAAGGTAGTAAGAAGGTTGCAACTCCGTCAAGTGGTATCAACATCTCTAGAAGTCCAATGATGTGGAGCATAGCCAAAGCATTTGTTCCCGTCAAAAGGTAACACAATGCGGTGAGAGTCAACTCCGTTAAATCCATTAAAGCAACAAATCATACTCAAAACACTTTTACCTCTCTGGGGACAAGGGAAAAGGTTTATGCAAACTGATAGGTTCAACTTATCTCAGAGAAATTGTTGTCAAATCCAAGTTCGAGGCTAGTCTACCCAAGGCCAAAGAACTTTTCTGACTCCGTTATTATGCCAGTCATAATGACAAGTTTTACCTTATATGAAGAGTAATTGACGAGTATGGTGCAATTGAAAGACTACAAGAGACTCTTAATGAGAAAGATCTAAAAATTGCCTCGCTGACAGAAAAGTTAAAATTGCGTGACGACGTTGCTGAGTCAAGCAAAGGCAGAATTCCTTCTGATTCCATGCCAGATATCACTCCAATTGATGATCAAAATGTCATATCTGCCAACCAAGCAATTAAAGTTGCCTCTGTCGCTTTGCTTTCTGTCCAACAACTTTAAGACATGGTAGTGAATTGTATAAGAAGACAGTATAATGGCATCCTTCAAAGTGCTCGCATGTACTCAAAACCTTACACAGAAAGAATTGACAGCTTAAAAATGTCAATTGGATATCAACCTCCAAAGCTTTAATAGTTTAACGAAAAAGGCAATCCCGAGCAACATGTCGCACACTTTGTGGAAACTTGTGGCAATGCTGGTACAGACGGAGATCTCCTTGTCAAGCAATTCATTCGTTCCCTCAAAAGGAATGCATTTGATTGGTACACAAACCTAGAATGAGAATTTCTCAACTGCTTCTACAGCACTCATCATACTATAAGTATGCTGGAGCTTACAAACACAAAATAGATGAAGGGCGAACTCGTGGTTACCTACATCAATCGTTGGCGAGCTCTAAGTCTTGACTTCAAGGATCGTTTGTCTGGAATTTCTACAGTTGAAGCATGTATGCAAGGCATGTGCTTGGAGCTTCTTTACATCTTATAAGGGATTAAGCCTCACATTTTTGAAGAGCTTGTTACTCGAGCCCATGACATGGAGCTTAGCATGAAAAATCATGGTGCTAGGGTCTTGTATAAAAGGTAAATTGAACCATTTGTAATATGTTAGCTTTTATGTTATTTGATTAGCTTTTAGAAGTTAGAAAACTCTCTCTAGAATTAGGGTTAGAAGTGGAGGCAAGAACACTCTCATCTCTAGGGTTTCAAGCAAGAAAACCAAGAAGGAGAAGAAGAGGAAGATGAACCAAGGCATGGGGATTGATCTTAGAGCTACCTTGACCACATCTACACCATCCATGAGTGGATAGTCTTCTCCTTAGGGCTTGAATGAGCCCTAAGCTTGTAATCTAAACTCTTGTTTTTCATTTTTTTGGGGAATTAAATGTTGTAATTGATGTTATAGTCTTGTGTATATGTAAAACTTGGTTGTACCAAGGATTTCTATGGTTTAATTCTTCCTATTAATTTTCTATGTTGGTTGCATGTTGTCTTATGTGTAATTAATTAAAAATCAATCTCTACACTAAATACTTTTTGTAATTTGATTTAGTGATGGTTATGCATGGTTTTTATTAGATGCAATTGGTAATTAATTTGATGGATTATGCTTAGACTTGATGGATTAAACTACGCCCTTAGTTTAATTACATGTTTTAATTGTAGTTTAATGGTAGTTAAGTAGACAATCCATGGTTGTATTTGATATCCATGCTTATTAGTATAAATTACATTATCCACTTGATTAATATGTGATACAATTGTTGATTAATTTGAAGGTTTATGCTTAGACTTGATTAATTGCACTACACCTTAGTTTACTTGTTGTTAGGTAGATAATTCATTCTTGAGTTTGATATCTGTTGACCATAAGGGTTCATCCAAGGATAATCTAGATATTTTAATGATAACAAACCATTAATGGTGTTTAAGGACTAATGTTTACATTGAGTATTATAGATGATTTACATTCAAAGAAAAATCGCAATGAAGATCACAAAGATCATTCCAAGTATTCCATTACACAAGATCACATCTATGGAAATTAAAGGAGACAAATGAACATGAAGTTGTAAGGAACCAAATACAAAGTCCAGCTAAAGATAGCTTGGACTACAATGAATAAGAAAGCAACTTCAAGAAATGAATAAAGCAAGAATACCTCAAAGCCTAAACGATCATGGACAAAGCTTAAAGAAATGGGTAAATAGCTTGGTGAGTACTATCTTAAATTGTAAAGTTATTTTTAAAGTAACTTCATTTGAAAGCTCATCTCTATAGGATCATGCATATCATTTTAATATTCATATGTTCCTATGTCCATTAGCAATAGACTATACACTTCATACATATATATTTGCACATTAAGTCATTGCTAAAAAAAAATGAGTTAGTTCAAGCTTGCTT